ATCACAGCGGTCATATGATCAGAAACCTCGCCCCGCCTCATGGCATCTGAAACCCCTTAAAGGGCTGGGAGGCACCAGCACTAAGGGGTTTAACCACCAAGAATGTGCATATCCTCTCCCCACCAAACTGCTGCTACTACCACAGTATCAGTGTGTAAATACAAAGAAACCCAATATAATGGTGCTAGGTGCTAGAAAGAATCCACATATACTACTTTAATCTTAGGTAATATCAGAATATAAATATAAATCAGGCTTCATAAGTCAAAAACATAAATAAATATCATACAATATAAATATAAATCAGTGTGCTTTATAAACAATGTTAAACATCAAATTTATAAAATAGTCCAAAACAACTCCCTTATCAATCAGCTTCTAACCTCAGCTGTTCAATGGAGCTTTAAATGAAACCAGCTGATTGTGCTTTATAAACAAAATAAACCATCAAGCGTCCATCCAAAGTCCATAAAGTGCTCTCTGCTCCTATTCCACTTCAATGGTCCTCAAAAGAATAATGCTGATATATTGGGTTATATTTGGATACCAGGGGCAGACTGACCATTTGGAAACTCGGGCACTGCCCAAGGGCCCAGGTTCAGTAGGGGGCACCATGAGATGCCCCTGGTACCTTTTTCATAGGCTTTTTATGAGTTTGGGCAAGGATACAGGGGCCCCATGATCCCCTATTGCCTGGGGGCCCCATGAGTTGTCAGTCCGCCCCTGTTGGATACTCAAACAGTTCAGCTGAAACATTTTAAGCCAGTTTTTAAATTGACTTTGTCAACCTGCATTGTTCCTTCAGGGCCAACTATGGCTCAAATTTTGTCTGATTCAGTTGATATCATCGGAAATTTGATCCATGTGTGGCTAGCTTACCCCTTTCATGTGGGTCAGATCTGGTTTTTCTCAGCAGGGGTTTCATCCGTTGATCCCCTACTGAGCTGAGCGGAGTGGTCAGATGCCAGGTCTGTTTACACCCAACTGGACTCTGATCCGATCCAGTCAGATGGAGGGAGATGGATCCCCTCCCATTTGTTTTTGCCAGATTGGAGGTAGCCGGTGTAAACAGATGCAAAGTCCGGACTGCCCGTAGAGGAGAATGAAAGATTCAGTCGGGTCCACATGAAAAAAACAGACAGGCGGATCCGATCGTCCGATCGACCCTTGTGTGAAAGGGGCCTAACTGTTACTACAGTTCTCTGAAGAATTTTTTTCTATTAATGGTTTTCTATGTTGTATAAATTATGTGGATTTCAGAACCGGTTTCAGAATTGTCTGAGATAGGAACCTAAGGGCCCCCAAAATATTGCATGTTTAATAAAATAATAGGACAATAAAAGTTATCTCTTCACTACTAACAAACATTCTGCATTCATACATGACTAACACATACTAATAAGTAAAGTAAAAGCACTAACCTGCCCAGGCCAATAAACACAGACAGCTTTTCAAGAAACATCGTAGGAAAACCATCTTAGTGAGTTTACGTTTCTCCTATCTTGCTGTAATTATCCTGGACAAGTATTATATCAGATATATCAGAGTATTATATCAGATTTGTCTAGGTATTCCCACAGCTTATGATTTGATAACAAAGTTACCCCACCTTTCTGAACTTTTGTAACCTATAGCAGTTACTTTCATTTTCCGTGAAATTATTTAAACAGCTTCAAGGAAACTATAGCTAAAATAAAGTGAGTGTGAGCTCTTGTCAACAAGGGTGGTGTGATCAAATTACAGTCTAGTTCTCCGAAGCTTGTCATCAGAGGCGGCTCTGGGCTTTGTGAGGCCTGAGGCAAAACTTAGACTTGAGGCCCCACTCCGCCCATAATTTTAAAATAATTCAAGTGAGAAAAATGTATAATACATTGCAGTGCACAGTGCACAATGAACTGATGGCAAATCACTCATGGCCAGTCCTCAAGGATTCCAGCATGTCATTGGAGCATATCATACCAGGAAACGCACTGCAACACCAGCTCCATCTGTATAGTGATCGTCACTTACTAGATAGCTCTCCATTATGCTTTAACATTACCTAACAAAGGCCATAATCAGGGGCGGACTGACCATTTGGAAACTCAGGCACTGCCCAAGGGCCTGGGGTCAGTAGGGGGCCCCATGAGATAACCCTGGTACCTTTTTCATAGGCTTTTTTGAGTTTGGGCAAGGACACAGGGGCCCCATGATCCCCTATTGCCCGGGGGCCCCATGAGTTGTCAGTCTGCCCTGGCCATAATACATCATGTGTTTTCTCAAACATTTTCCCCATACCTGCTGTGGACACAGCCAATACATTGACTATGGTCAGTGAACCTGCAGAGTCAAGAAAAGGCAAACCAATATAGAGAAAAATGGAAATCTGGAGAGAAATGCACTCCATTGTAACCCACACAGCCACCCCCCAGGGGGCAAGTGCAACCCAAAGACCCATGGTGCAGCAAGTCGGCCCCCTCTGCTCTCCCTCTTCCCTGCCAAGAGAGAAGAAGAAGAGGCGAGAGGGGGGAGTTGGGGGGGGGCAAAAGTGGGGAAAGAGGGGGGTGAGGAGGAAGAGAGAGGAGAGAAGGAGGGAAAGAGGAAAAGATGTGGGAGAGTGTGGGGAAGGGGAGATGAGAGAGAGGTGGGGAGAAAGAGAGAAAAAGGGATCAAAAGAGGGGAAATAGCGTGGGGGGAGAGGAGAGACAGTAGGAGAGGAAAGAGAGAAGGGGAGAGAACAGGGGGAGGGGGGAGAACATCCAACCAAATTGAGCATCTGTGGGGCATCCTCAAACGGAAGGTGGAGGAGCGCAAGGTCTCTATCATCCACCAGCTCCGTGATGTCGTCATGGAGGAGTGGAAGAGGACTCCAGTGGCAACCTGTGAAGCTCTGGTGAACTCCATGCCCAAAAGGGTTAAGGCAGTGCTGGAAAATAATGGTGGCCACACAAAATATTGACACTTTGGGCCCAATTTGGACATTTTCACTTAGGGGTGGACTCACTTTTGTTGCCAGTGGTTTAGACATTAATGGCTGTGTGTTGAGTTATTTTGAGGGGACAGCAAATTTACATGTTATACAAGCTGTACACTCACTACGTCACATTGTAGCAAAGTGTCATTTCTTCAGTGTTGTCACATGAAAGGTATAATAAAATATTTACAAAAATGTGAGGGGTGGACTCACTTCTTGAAGATACTGTACATACCCAATTCTATGTGTGGGCGCTCCATCCTAAGTGTGCAGGTATTCCACTCTCTATATGCACACATACCCAATTCTGTGTATGCAGGCACTCCATCTTCTCTTTGTGCGTGGGTATTCCATTCTTTCTGCATGTGCAGTTACCACCTTCAATAAGTGTGCTGGTACTCCACCATCCCTGTATGTTCAGGTACCCCATTTTCTCAGTGTGTATGTACTCCACCCTCTCTCTATGTGAACGTACCATATCTTCTCTATTTATGCAGGTGCCACTCCTCCATTCTCAAGTGTTGACAGGTTTGGCTCTCCTCTTTTCCTTTTCCAGGCCAATGTGACCAGCGGGTCATGGGAAAAATGCCCTGGACAGTGATTGAGTCAAAAAGCCCAGCAGCTACCCAATCTGGTGGGAAGTAGGCCAGGTGGATGATCTTCTCTTAAAAAGCCATGTCATGATAGATGATGCACCAAAGTATGGATTTCATACCATCACTACACAATAGAACCATTGGATGGCAGAGTGAGAGTGATAGAGTGCCAGGGCTTTTTTTCAGAAGGAACGCAGGGGAACACAGTTCCAGCACCTCCAGCACTGAATGTATGTAATGGCAAGGATTGCTGGGGTGTGCTAGAGGGTCTATTGATTCTGGCTGCTGGAGATCTGTTTCCACTGGTGGGGGATATCTATTGTCACTGGGGGGGGGGTCTTATGTTGCAGAGGAGTCTTATGTTGCTAGAGTGATTTTTTTTTTTGGGGGGGGGGGGGGGTATTTTTTGTGGCTGCTGGAGGATTGTTTGATACTGGCTGCTGGGAAATCTGTTTTTGTTGGTGGGGTCTATTATTGCTTGGGTAGATCTATTGTTGCTGGGGAGGGGGATATTTTGTAGTATGGGGTCTATTGTTGCTGAGGGAAGGGGGTATTTTGTTGTAGGGGATCTATTGTTGCTGTGGGATGTCTATTGTTTCTGGGGGGGGAGGGGGGGTAATTTGTTGCTGAGGATCTATTGTTGCTGGGGGAAGCAGGTATTCTGTTGTGGGGATATATTGTTTCTGAGGAAAGAGAGTATTTTGTTGCTGGGGATCTATTGTTTCTGGGGGTCTATGATTGCTAGGGCAGGGGGTATTTTGTTGCCAGGGATCTATTGTTGCTGGGAGAAGGGGGTAATTTGTTGTTGGGGATCTACTGTTGCTGGGGGACTGGCATATTTTGTTGTGGTGGATCTATTGTTGCAGGGGATATATTATTGTGGGGGGAAGGGGTATTTTGTTGCGGGCATCTGTTGTTGCTTGGGGGTCTATTGTCGATGACAGAATCTATTGTTGCAGGGGGGTCTATTGATCTCTTTTATTGCTTTTCTTGTTATCAGTAACCAATTCCAAGAGATGGTGCTTGGAGGTGGGTAGGGGGCAGAGACAAGGGGTGACTTGAAAGGGGGGGGGGGGGGTACCTGCACCTATTTTCTGAGAAAAAAAAGTCCTGGTTCTACCTCTGTGTTTTTAGTGGAAGGGCTTAGTGCAACCATTTTTCATTCTCTCTGAATGTGGATCTCAGACTCCCGGTTATAGTTCACTTACTGTTTTTTCAGTACTGGGCATGTGTGTGGCAGAACCCTTAAAATGGTATTCTTCCTTCCTATTACAGTAAGGCCATCTCTCATCCCCTTAGTGTGTGCCAGTCACTTCCATCCTCATACATGTAGTTCCCTGTCATCCATGTATGTGGTCAGAATTTCCTCCCATAACCCAATTTTACTCACTCCCCTTTAATCCAATGTATTTATTGTTATACAAAAGCTACACCAGTTATTTCACATGAATTTATTTTATAGTAACACATGAGCATAGAAATGGCTTCAGTAGGTTTGATTTTGAAGCTCTCCAATGTGTTTGAGAAAAGCCAAATCCAATCCCCAGCACACAAGTGAATAGCGAAGCTGCAAACAGCCAGACATGGGTACGAGACAAGAGATTCAATTTCTGATCTAGAAAGAGAAAAATAATGTTTCAGCCAAATATTCTTCTTAAGAAACAAACAAGATAATGGAAATAGACAAGATAATGGAAATAGACAAGATAATGGAAACTTGCATTAGATAGCATGATGTCAAAGGAACAATGTATGCATGTCCAGACCAGGTAGAGGTCTGGGACCTGGCTAGTCAACTTTTGAGGTTGGAGAAATGTGACAAACAATATTAATAGTATCGGTAGCCCCCTGCATGTTGATAGCAGCCAACTTGTCCTTTAGCATTGGTGGCTTTGAGAGATGTTTTTGGTAAAAGGAGGTATCCCTTCCAAACCCCCAATACATATACAGTATGAGGTGGCCACCATGAGTAGGGTTTAGGTTCCACCTACTGGTCCCTTGTGTGGGGCACATACTGTAGGTGGTTGTCTGTGGGCAGAACTAAAGTAATTTAAAGGGACCAGGTGGGACAATGTCTTCTGGCAATTTTCTAATTTTATGTAATAAATAAGCAATAGTACAACCACGCAGTGATAATCCAAAGTCCTAATATACAATAAGGCACTTTACAGTTCCATAACAAAGCAGCACAACAATGCAGAACCCACAGACAGCAGTGTGCTTGAAAAGTGCTCTTTAAAGGGATTCTAAAAGGAAAGAATTAAAAAAAAATAAATACATGTTATATGTACCTGCTCTGTGCAATGGTTTTGCACAGAGCAGCCCCAATCCTATTCTTTTTGGGTAGGGTGTACCTGGCTCCTCCCCCCTGCCAAGTGCTCCCAATAACAAGCCTCATCCTATGGGGGCACTCAAGAAGGGTCGATCCCTAGCCACCCTTTGTGTGTCCATTCCCACACAGAGTGCGGCTCGGTCCTCTCCCTCTCTCTTCATTGGCTCACTGGCTGTGATTGACAGCAGCTGTTGTGTGAGCCAATGAGGAGAAAGAGACCCAGGAGAGCTGCTGCACTCATGCACATCGCTGAAATGAGATGGAGCTCCAGTAAGTTTAAGGGGGCACTGAGAGGGGAACTACACACAGAAGGTTTTTTTACCTTCATGTATAGAATGAATTAAGGTAAAAACTTTGAGCCTATACAGCAACTTTAAGCAGGTCCTCTTGGTGTCAGGTTCATCTAGCGCTCCTGCTCCATCATAGCTGTTGGTTTCTAGCATCCTGGTTTTGGGTATGCTGACTTCTCCCTGTCTGTCTGTTCACCTGCAAGGTGATTGATGTGGCATTCTTTGCGTAGAGACCAAACCTATTTTAAGCCAGCCAAGCCTACAGTCTCATGATTGTGATAGCATGTGTAATATGTGTCTGTGTAATATGTCCCTGTCTGTTTGTCCTGTTCTGCTGTTTGGATACCCTTGTCCTGAGCCCGCAATGTCATTGAACCAGTCTGCCTGTCTGACAACTGCAAGTACCTGTTTGCTGTGCTCAGTTCTCACCTGCACCAGTGTGGTAGCCAAGTACTATAGCATCATGTATATGTTCTGGGGGCAACTGAGTATGGGTAGGCCTGCTTGTCTTATGGGAAAGGGGGCTGCTAGAGTACCTGACAACCTGTGTTAGAGGTACTTGGCTGATATAAGGTAGCCTCTCAAAAGGGTGTTACAGGACCCACAAATGTGTAGGACCAGATGTAGGTTGGAATAGATTCCTTTACTGCAGAAAAGTCTAGGGATTTTCTAGACTGATGAACCTACTGCTGTCTGTGGGTTCTGCTTGACAGGAACCTTTCCCTGAACTATTGTCTATCTTTCCCTATATAGCCAGAAAGGTTCCTTTGTACTGTCTCTAATTAGATGCTTTCCACACTGCAGGCATGCAATACTGACCCATGCTTTCCACACTGCAGGCATGCAATAACTGACCCAACAAAGGAAGCTATTCCAAGCTATACACAGCCTCTTTGAGTCCAATATGGCTTTCCAAGTCTTTGAGAAACTCTAGTCAGAAACTGGCTCCTCTAAAATGGCCACCAGGAGCCCAATACAGAAGAAAAGTCAGTGCTCTGTAAGATTCCCCTAGTACCAGAGGTAATCAGTGATCTCATGTTCACTGTGTTTACTTCTGGCTCTAGTCAGGAAGAGAATGGGAGATCAATGGATCACCTCCTCAATCACAATGGTGTCACTTGCTTAACAGCATCATCAACATTCTTCCTTCCTCATGTAACCAGTTTACCATTCCTGCAGCCCAGCAACTACACATGTAACACAGGGTTAAAATCAACTTTACGCAACCTAGGTAACCTAGCTTTACTTTCTGGGTTCCATACAATGTAAAATTGTCTTCTGGCAGGTCCTGAAGGTGTAGGAATCCCGAAACAGGGAGCACAGCTTACCTATGGTTGATAAATCAGGAAATCCTGGTTTTACTCACACTGGAAAGGTGTCCCATCAATGACTACGATCCTTACTAGGTATTAGTCCACTCAAAGCAGACCCGCAATGATGGAGGCTGTGCTGAGTGTACTCACAATGCTATAGGATGTTTGAGTCCCCATTAACATGTTTGTTGACTTTTTTTAAGTTGTTAAATAGAAATCATCCAAGAAGTGATCATTCTGTTTTAAGAGCCCAGGTTGCATTTTCCTTATGAAATAAAATGATTCAATAATTTGGAACTGTAAGGCTCCGTTCACACCTATGCAGTTTACTTTTTGTCCATTTTACAGTGCTTTTCGCAGTTCGTTTTGCGTTTTTCTACACGCGTTTTTGATGCAAATTTGAGGCATTTTTACCGCGTTTTACGTTATGTTCAGCTCTTTTTTTGTTTAAAGTGGAATTTTTTTTTTTGCTGGGCAGAATAAAAATGCAAAATGCGGCAAAAACACACTACCATGCATTTCAGCCATTGAACTCCATTGTAGCAAAAACGCTGCTTTTTGCTTTTAACCACTTGCCTACACAGGGCACTTATACCCCCTTCCTGCCCAGGCCAATTTTAAGCTTTCAGCGCTGTCGCACTTTGAATCACAATTGCGCGATCATGCAACTGTACCCATATGAAATTTTTATCATTTTTTGGAGACAGATAGAGCTTTCTTTTGGTGGTATTTAATCACCTCTGGGTTTTTTTTTTTTTGCTAAACAAACCAAAAACAACAGAAAATTTTGAAAAAAAATGTTTTTTCTTAGTTTTTGTAAATAAGTGATTTTTCTCCTTCACTGATGTGCGCTAATGTGGCTGCAGGGATGGGCACTGATAGGCTGCACTGATAGGTGGCACTGTTGGGCATTGACAGGCATCACTCATATATGGCACTGATAGGTGGCACTGATAGGCGGCACTGATAGGCATTGATATGTAGCATTGATGTGCACTGGTAGGCACTGATATGTGGCATTGATGTGGCACTGATGGGCACTGGCAGGTGGCATTGATGAGCACTGACAGCTGGCATTGATGGATACTGACAGGTGGCAATGCTGGGGCTACACTGATCATCAGGGCACACTGATGATCAGTGTAGATGTCCCCTCTGAGTAATGCCGATTACCGGCTCTCCTCTCCTCATGAGCTGTCAGCGTGACAGCTCATGAGGAGAGAAATGCAGATTACCGGCATTTCCCTATTTACATGCGATCAGCTGTGATTGGACACAGCTGATCACATGACCGAGCCAACGTCTTTAGCTCTTTCCATTGATCAGTGATTCGCTGTGTCCTAGGGACACAGCGCTCACCACCGGTCACCGTGCTGCATGCTCCTGGAGTCACGCACACACAGTTAGCGTGTGAGGACATCATATGACGTCCTCCCAGAAAGAGAGAACCGCCTTGCGCCCGTCATTTCCTTATATGGCGGGCGGGAGGCGTTTAAAAAGGTCCCTGACCCTTTCTAAAAATGCAGCAGCTCAAAAAAGCATCGGCGTGAACATGTTCCATAGGGAACCATGCAAATGGACTGTAGTGCATTTCTGCAACGGAGCCTTAGATATTATTTCAAATGTAATCAGTGAATACCAGGTGAATGTACAGGAAAGGTAAAATTCACCCTTTTATAAACAGTCGCATAACTCTCTCATATAAACATGGCTCATCATTTGCGGCAATGTGAATAATAAGATCGTGGGAATTAAAGTTCAACAATATAGAGAAAATAGCCCAACCCTAAAGTCTAAGAACATTCAATCAGCAGGGGAAATAATGAGGGAGACCTCTGCGCTGTGTGCAGTCTTGTATACTGTGTACATTCATTTGTACAAGTTTATAGGAGCACTGGATACTTTATTTACTATCTCTATCAGAAAGAAGATACATGTTCGGTGAATATATGATTTGGTTGTTTTATGTATTTTTTGGTTGTTTATGTATTGTGGTATTGGGGAGATTATACTGAAGTGGTAGGGGCTTTTTCAATGAGTTGAACTGTATTTTAGGGCATGGCAGACCCCTTTTATTACATAAAATGGAAAAGTTCACAAGCGCATTAGTTGCCCATGCGGTGGTTCTTCCACACCAATATGAACAAAGAAAATACTGAGTCACCTGGCTCCCTTGTTGGCAGCACCTCTGCTTTTCTTACTAGTCCATTTGACTGTGTTGGCCAGCTCTGCTGGTTCCCTTGGCTCTTTTAGCCTTTATTTGCAGCACCCAGCTGCATGGCCCAATCCTGGCTTCGGGAGAGGGCTTCTCCTGACACCCCAATAGGAGCCGACCTGACCCCTGGGTGGCACCTCCTGTCTCTTGGCTCTGGCTGGGGCTCCTATGACTCCTGGGGGAAACCTTCTATCACCCACACTGAGAGCTGTCCCCAGACTGGGAGCTCGGAGCTATCCTCAGGCTTGAGTATATAATAACACTGCATACCTGTGTATTTAGATGGGCTGCAGGCACCTGGTTCAATCCAGACACTGCAATAAAGGTTCCAGTCTAGCACTACAAAATCTGGAGAAAGCCAAGACCTCACATTAACTCTTAAAGTGGTTGTAAAGGCTGAAGGTTTTTACATTCTGTGTGCAGCAGTGCCCCCAGCCCCCTCAATACTTACCTGAGCCTCATCGCGATCCAGCGACGTGAATGAGAGCCTTGGCTGTCCCATGTCTCCGCCTCCTCATTGGCTAAGACAGCAAGAGGGGGCGTGGGTAGGGTTTCTGGAATGAGAAAAAGTACTTGCACTTTCATTCTGGTCCTCATCAATTAATTCCATAAAATCTTTTTAATGTCTTTATGGCGCCTCTGGTGTTTAGTCATCCTTGTATCATTTAGAAAAGAATATTTCTTCTCACAATATTTGCATATTGTAGCTTTGCTCCCAGCAGGAATTGTGACGTGGAAATGTTTTCGATCTCTAGATGTTGGTCTCACCATTTTACTGAGAGGAGGACAAGAAAAAACAATTTGCTGACTAGACTATAGGTAAACATTAATTTTTCAGATGAATTTACCCTCTTGCCTGTCAATTGAGGCCTGAGACAACAGAAACTATCTTCTACTGTATCCCAACCATCACCCAACTGTAGGAAGTACAAGATGGAGCCCACAAGCAAACTAAACTGGAGGTTTTTCCCTGAAGTGCCCCTAGTGACAGAATGCATATTTCTCTCGTGCGTGGAAACGGCATTGAAATGTAGTGTTACTTGAATTGTATTCCAGGATTTGCTTGTCTTCAGCTGCCCATGCAATAATTTAAGACTTTGCATAAAGTCTCAGAAATCTTTCATCAAGGTCTTCATGTTATATAGCTTGAATACCATGTCATTGATTTATTTTATCATTGTAAAAAACATATTCCACCATGTTTCCAAAAAAAACAAAAAAAGTTTCTGGAAAAAAACAGAAAAAAGCCCTTTTCCCCCAATGTTTCCACTTTTTTCCAGTCCTTCTCATTTCTACCCACAGGCATGTTATTTAAAGGAACTGGGCATTTTTTAATGTTTCACATTAAACATTTTAAAAAATAAATTCTTCTGGCCGAGTGTAATTTAAAAAAAAAAATCATATTGGTACATATTCCCCAGGGCAGTGCCCATTCCCATGTTCGTTTGTGAAAATCCATTGCCTTAATGGGTAAGGGGTTGTCAAAAAATAGCAATGGGCTGATGTCCAGAAAGTTGGCATTTTTGATTTGACAGATTTGGCTCCCATTGATTTCAGTGGGAGTTGCGTTTGAATCCCAATCGAACCAAACCCAAGGCAGTTTGGCTTATCCTTGAAAGGAATACTAAGGTGCAACACCCTGTCAGTGCCTTCCACCAACCATGATCTGCCTTCATTGTATAAAAAACCACAGAGACTGTGTGATGACATCACTGGGTCAAAAATAGGGTGTCTAATGAAAATGGATCAATTTTATTTAAAAATGTCATTAGCCTACTGATGAAAGGGGGAGGTAGGAACCAGAGAAGGCAAACCAAATATATGTTTAGCTCTTCACAGTATATACCTTCTAAATCCACTTTCACAGTGAGAGTCTCCTCCAGGCTGCTGTGGTCCACATGACAAGAGTAAGTGTCTCCCTCCTTGGTTGGTACTTCCACACTGACTCTGGTCTGATAGGTGCCATCAGGATGGGGGAGAATTGGAGTCATTTCATCTGAAGGAACATGATCCACCCCATTCCTCATCCACTTCACATCCACAGGTCGGGGGTGAAACCCGTACACCAGGCAATGAAGTCTGGTCACATCATCCGACTGACGGCGGCCCCACACCTTCACTTCTAAATGCGCTGTATGCAAAACAATTCAAAACAATATAAATAAAATAAACAAGTAATGCTTAAAAGTAAAATATCTTTATATGGCACCAATGAATTTTTTTTAAGAATTCATATATGCCATTCATTGAATATACAACTTCTAACTACATTGTACAGAAGATACTTCATCAAATTTTAAAGAGAAAGAAATGTGTATTTTTAGGTAGCACATATTTTAATTACTGTTTTCTTTACATCTTAGTAATTTTTCTTTTTGTCTTTTTTCTTTTATTTTTGTCTTTTGCATTTTAAAATGCGTACTATTTCATAATTATGATTTTGTATTAATTACTTCAATACTGGACACTTTCACCCCTTCTAGCCCAGGCCTATTTTCATTTTTTAGCACTGTCATATTTTCAATGACAATTGCGTGTTCATGAAACACTGTGAACCAATGAAAATTTTTATCATTTTTTTCACACAAATAGAGCTTTCTTTTGTTAGTATTTAATCATCACTAGTTTTTTTGCTAAATAAACAAAAAAACTGAAAATTTAAAAAAAAAACTATTTTTTTTAATTTCTGTTGTAAAATGTTGTAAATAATCTTTCTTCATAAATTTAGGCCAAAATGTATACTGCCACATTTCTTTGGTAAAAATAACCCAAATCATTGTATATCATTTAGCCTGTAGGAAAGTTATTGAGTCCACAAACTATGATGTGTGTATATATACTGTATATATATATATTTATATATACACACACACACAGTATGTGTGTGTGTGTGTGTGTGTGTGTGTGTGTGAAATTGATCCATCCTGATGTACTGATCTGTCTCAATTCTTGAGGCCCAAAAATGGCGGGACAGTACAAATACCCCCCAAATTTTGGAAAGTAGACAGTCTAAGGTATTTAGTAAGAGGCAAGTTTTTAAAAAATTTTTTGGAAAATGAAGAAGTTTTTAAAAATTGTCTTTTTTCACCTTTTTTTTATATACTATCTCCAGTGCAGTACAGCATCATTATATAACTGGCATGGTGGTGATCAGGGACACTGACTGGTGACAGTATGTAAAAAAAGAAAAAACAATTCTAATAATTTTATTTTCAATTTTTAAACTATTTTTCTTTCTTTATATTACTTTTTTTTATTTTTTTTTTTAAATCCTGTGACCAGAGCAATCTAGTGTGACCATAGTAATATTGTACTACTATAATCACTGTTATAAACAACCAGTTTTTCTGAATGAAATCCATTCATTCAATGTGTATTATTGTGATTAGCCATAGCTAATCACTTGGTACAGATGGGCTGTGATTGGCCCTGTCTGTACCATGTGATCACTGTGATAAATCACAGAGACCAATACAATAGTTTACAACGAAAGGCATGAATATAATTCATTCTTTGTGAACAATTGCCATGTGATCTGCTGTCATTGGTCACTGTGATTACATGGTACTGCCAGAGGCCTGGTACACTGATCTGTCATCTGCTATGTCTGGTGGACACAGCAGATGCAGGTTGCTCCACAGCATGGCCCGTGCGGTGCGTGTGAGGCGCGATCCTGTGAGGATGTCATATGATGTCCACCCAGGATAACAGTGCTTCTGCCCAGCCATCATTTGTCTGTAGGCCAGGTGGGAAGTAGTTAAATATTGTTTGCCACTAGAGAGCTCAGTGTGTCTCAATGTAGTCCGCTCCTCTCTGCTTAACAACTGTTGAGATAAGATATCAGACAAACAGAGAGTGCATTCTTTTGCTAAAGTCCAACTTTAAAAAAGTAATAACCCTCCATTACAGAAGGGCTGCACCTTCACCCCAATGATACATTCTCATTCCTGTCTACATATGGAAAAAAGCACTTTTACTTACACAATTTTCCTCTCCCCCAGCTGACAGCACTCCCTCTGTCCTCATGTCCAATGCAGACTACAGGAGAGAAGAGGCTGCTTGGACTAGTCTAGCCATACAAAGAAGCCTGCAGGAAAGGAGGATTGGGGATGCAAAATTACTTTTCCAATTTCCCTAGACATAAATAAGCAATTAACCCTTCCCAACTCTCCCCCCATTGCAAGGGAGCATTGTTACTTTATCTTGACTTGAACTTTAAACCAACAAAACATTTCGGGTTGATTGGATGGACGACTCTACTCCTGCCAGCTTTTGCATGACACCCATGGCTGCCAGATTACCTAGAAAATGGTTACAGATGATCTGTCGCAGTCAATGTTCAGCCATCTTTTTTCCACCCAGCTGCCTCAATTTCCCAATCCAGGTTTGCCATGCTGGGTGCTGACAGCACGACCAACCACAGCTCAAAATTCAGCTGATTCATAGGAATTTGAGCCGTGCATGGCCAGCATTAGAGTTGCAATATGAGAAGGAGCTAAAGCAACAACCTTCTTGTAACACTACAAAACTGGAAGCAGAAGCTGTGCACAATACACAAATATAGCTGCTTCCATGTACATATATAATTGTAAACTGTATATAGAAACAACATACATTTCATAAAAATTATTAACATTACGCTAATCCCATTCATGTGTTTATCTAAAGAATATAAACAAAGACTGTACATTCCCTTAAAATACTTTTATTGCCATAAACATATGTCATTCGTTGGTAGCAGTGGGGGTCACAAATCAACTGCTGGCGTTCAAATGGAAGGAATACTGTGGCTGTACAGCCAACAGGTTGCTTACACAGACCCTCAAAACTTGCAAATCCTCCACCATGTTTCCTGGGACCCACATGGTGTGTGTTGCCAGCTGGAGTTGAGAGAGAGCAGTGAACATCCATTTGCTTATCTCCCCTGGCTAGTAAGAAGCCAGCAGCAGTGAGGATTTTCTTACTTCCAAGTTCTGTTGTAATTTTGCCAGACCACAATGGCTGGGGAAGAAGCTAGAGCATGATCAGCACACCATACATTTCAGTGGAGTGTAGGGGAGACATCAGGGCTCTAACAGACCCCTGATGTGTCAATAAAGAATACCTGTGACAATATGTATGCTATCACATAGAGTGCTATTGGACAGGTTCAATGGTCTCCAAACTGAATCCTGCGGGCCGGATGTGGCCCTTAGAATGTCTTTATCTGGCCCTTGGGAATTCCCCTCACAGATTTGAACCAACAATGGGGCACTATTCCTATCACTAATACCCATTATGGCACGAAATGCTTATCCACTTCCCCCTTCACTTTTTTTTCATGTTCTTTGTCACTTGCACTTTTTGCACAGCGCTGTACGCACTTTCACTTTCCCTGATTAGTAGTGAAGGTTTGGGGGGGGGGGGGGGTGAGGAAAGTGCCCTTTTGGTCAAGGTCTCCTCCTCTCATGGGGTATCCCTTCAGGGGAGCCCCACTTAATACTCAGGTGGCCTTGCTTCGGCAGGCCTCCTGAAGAAAGGGGTCCACCTGGTTTCAGCCGGGTGATCTAGTGAGTGTCTTAGTCCCCATCAGGAGCCTTGCACCCCAGGGGATCAGAGCTAGGGCCCTTCCTCTTTGGAGGAGGGCCAGATTTACAACCTGTGCACTTTTTTGTGTGCTTCACTTTTTGTGTGCTCACTTTTTTTTTTTGCACTGGGTGCTAGTGTTGTGAGTGTGTTCACTACACCACGAGACTTCAAGAAAAAAAAAAGGAAAAAAAAAATACCATTGTGGAGTACAATTCGTCCTCCTACTGACCACAGGCACCATATAACTTTTTTTATTCCTGCTAACCACAGTCCAGCCCCCCTAAAGTCTGGAGGACAGTTAACCAGTGCTTTGATTGAAAAGTTTGGAGACCCCCTGCTCTACATTATAGCAGTAAATTTACATGAAAAAAGTGTAAAAAAGTTAATATACACCGAAGTACTTAAAAATCCTAAAAAATTGTTAAGCACCCCCCCACACGTGAGCTTACGCAGGCAAAAAAATTCTTAATATAACGCATTGGTGAACATTAAAATGAACTATTGTGGGACAATGCTCCCTTTATTGAAAAGACAAAAATAACTAAAACTCTAAAACTGAAAGTTCACCTTTTGTTGTGAACAGTGTAGCACCACTATAGTATGTTACTACAATGATAATATAGTACACAACTGATCAATGCATTGTATGTTTGCATATGCATGTTTCCATTAGTATGTTTGTTATGTATGTTGAAAAAATGTATAATGTATGTATAAAATTTACAATAATAAATTGATTAGAAAAAAAAATGTTTGTTTCCTGAACATTTGTGCTTGATATCATGTGACAAACAAGTAGAACTACCATCATTTTATTTTCCAGAGTCTCAGCTTTCAGATAATATACTGTATTCTGTTTGGGGATTTTAAATTATTATTATTATACAGGATTTATATAGCGCCAACAGTTTGCTCAGCGCTTTACAATATACCGGGAGACAATACAGCAACAATACAGTTCAATACATGAGGGATAGGAGGGCCCTGCTCCTTGGAGCTTACAATTTAGGAGGGAGGGGCTAGTAATACAAAAGGTAGTAACTGTGGGGGGATGGACTGGTTGGAAGAGTAGAAGAGTCCATTATTAGCTGAGGGCAGGATAGGCTTCCCTGAAGAGATAGGTTTTCAGATATCGCCTAAAAGTGAGCAGAATAGGCGATAGTCTGATAAATTGGGGTAGAGAGTTCCAGAGGATGGGGGAAGCTCTGGAGAAATCCTGGAGATGAGCATGGGAGGAGGAGACAAGGGAGATAGAGAGTAGGTGGTCTTGCGAGGAGCAGAGAGTGTGGTTTGGGTGATATTTGGAGACAAGATCGGTGATGTAATTTGGGCAGAGTTATAAATGGCTTTATACGTTATTGTTAATGTTTTGAATTTTATCCGTTGGACAACGGGAAGCCAGTGGATGGATTGGCAGAGAGGGGTGGCAGATACAGAACAGTTAGTAAGATGGATGAGTCTGGCAGCAGCATTCATGACAGACTGAAGAGGGGATAGCCTGCGATGAGGTAGGCCAATGAGGAGGGAGTTACAATAGTCAAGGCGAGATATAACAAGGGTTTCTGGTTTCCGGGTTAGGAACGGCAGTATCTTGGAGATGCTGCGGAGATGAAGTCTACAAGATTTGGACAGTGATTGGATTTGGGGTTGAAAGGACAGATGGGAGTCTAGGATTACACCTAGTACCCTGGCATGAGGGGAGGGACTGATGATTGTGTTATTGATCTTGATGGAGAAGTCAGGGGAGGGGGCACGGGCTGGGGGGAATACTAAGAGCTCAGTTTTGGAAAGATTGAGTTTGAGGAAGTGGAGTGACATCCATGCCGATATGTCACTTAGTAGGTTAGTAATGCGAGAGGAGACTGAAGGGATGAGGTGAGGGGTAGAAAGATAGATTTGTGTGTCATCAGCATAGAGATGGTACTTAAAGCCATGGGAGTTATCAAGTGACCAAGGGAGGAGGTGTAGATGGAGAAGAGAAGGGTCCAAGGACAGAACCTTGAGGGACCCCAACAGAAAGAGTGAGTGAAGAGGAGGAGGCAGCGTTATAGGTAACACTGATGGAGCGCTGCGATAGGTAGGAGGAGAACCAGGAGAGAGCAGAGTCTCTGAGGCCAAGAGAGTGGAGTTTTTTTTTGAGGAGGACAGGATGGTCAACCGTATCAAAAGCCGCAGAGAGGTCAAGTAGTAAGAGTACAGAGCAGTGGCCATTGGGTTTAGCTGTTAGTAGATCATTAGTGAGTTTTTTAGTAGGGCAGTTTCATGGAGTGTAGTGAGCGAAAGCCAGACTGTAAAGGGTCAAGAAGGTTGTGGTGTCGGTGAGGTGGGAGCTCAGGAATGTAGACTAAGCATTCTAGGAGTTTAGAGGTAAATGGAAGCAGGGAGATGGGTCTTAAGTTGTTCAGGTTAGTGGGGTCCAGGGAGGGCTTTTTAAGTATGGGAGTGATGTGCGCATGCTTTAGAGGGGAGGGGAAGGCACCAGTAGAGAGGGAAGGATTGAAGATGTGAGTGAGGGAGCGTAGGATGGAAGAAGAGGGTGACCATAGTAGTTGTGAGTGGACAGGATCCAGGGGGCAGGTAGTGAGACGGGCTTCTGAGAAAACCTTAGTGACCTCTTCGGTAGTAGCTAGATCAAAAGAAAAAAGTGTTGAGGGAGGTTTAGTATAATAGTATATTATTTATAGATTTTAACTAATCTTCAGTCCTGAAATTATTATTTTACCGTGTGTAAAAAGCACATTTTCCTTTAAAGAAATGACTGAATGGGTTTGTGCGGGCGGGGGAGGGGAGTTAGGTTGTGCTCAGAGATGGGCTTTAAAGCTATCCTTTTCTCTGAATGGGCACACTGACAGGGTCTCTTTAGAAGTAAGGGCTCTTTAATGAATATGACTTTGTGTAACCAAATGCCTAGGATGTAATTTCTGCAGCTAAACTAAATAACTTGCATAACTATGTGTATGACATTACAGAAATACGGAGAATGGCTGTACAAGGTTGTACATTTTTTAGCTAAGAGAAAGCAAGCATTTCTAAAATGAAAGCTAATAAAATTTTGAAGCCATCAAGATCCGTCTGATGACTAAGCAACTAGCATTTTAAGCAATGGCATATTTCTCTCATGACGTGTACTTTATGTTGAAGATGAGCACTTCCAGGCATGTACTTTAACCACTTCAAGTCGGGACACTTTCCCCCCTTCCAGTCTAGGCCAATTTTCAGCTTTCAGTGCTATCACAATTTATTTAACAATTGCGCGGTCATGCAACACTGTACCCATATGAATTTGTCAGCATTTTTTTGAGACAGATACAACTTAATTTTAATGGTATTTATTCACCACTGGAATTTTTTTTTTTTTTGCTATATAAATGAAAAAGTCCAAAAGTTTTGAAAAAAAGTGTTTTTCTTATAAAATTTTGCAAAAATAAATAATCTTTCTTCATAAATCTTGGCCAAAATTTATTCAGTTATCTTTTTAGTTAAAAAAAATGAACCACATTAGTTTATAACCAAAAATTATAATTTTTCAAAAACATTTTTTACATTTTTATTTTATATTTGTATATATCATTATTTATGGGTTTTTTTTTTTCGAATTTTGAAAAAATAAAGTTTTTTTCTTCTTAAATTTGTTAATAATAAATTTTTCTCTTTCACTGATGTGCACTAATGAAGATGCACTGATAGGCACTGATGGGCACTGATAGGCAACACTTACTTTAAGGTAAAAAAATGTCCCCCCAGCATTTGTATCCCCCCCAAATGCTTACCTCACTTGTATCCCCCAAATGCTTACCTCACTTGATCCAGCGCTGTGCCTGTCTGCAGCAGCTCTCACCTCTTTCCCTGCATTCACAGGACAGAGGCAGCAGCAGAAGCCATTGGCTCCTGCTGCCAATCAAATCTTGTGAGGAGGGAGCTGGAGCCAAGCCACACCAGGTGTGTCTATCCATACCAGGGCCACGGGTAAGGGGGTACAGCTGACCCTCCTGTACAGGGCCTGGGCCCCATTAGTTCAACAATGGGGCCTGGGCAGTGGGCACCTGCCACGCAGGAGGATGGCTCTATTGCCTTTTCATTGGAACTGATTCTCCTGTGATCCCCCCCACAGCATATCCAGCTAATGTGCTCTTCCCTTTTGCTGGCTGCACTGCAGGGGGAGCCACAGGAGAATTAATTCCAGTATGAGTGCCTCTATCACCTGCCACTCTGATCACCCTCTGCTCTGATCATCCCTACCCCTTCCCCCTGCTATCTTGGTCTCCTGTGTGCCCCCACTCTCCAGCAGTGTTACCAGCTTCTCCTCCACTCCCCCCTCCTGCCAGCTGCAGCTGCTGCAGGGGCGCATAGGAGAACTGTTTCATGGTGGAGAGTGGGGGCCAAGAAATATGTCATATTTACTGGCCCCTTCTATTCCTGAATGAACACAGTGAGCGATCAGTACCGATCATTTCTGTGTTCATTCATAATTGAAGCATAGTGCCCCACAGGCTTGCTACCATAATAAGTGACTTCTTATGGTGGCACACCAAGAAGAGGAAGAGCTGAGAGAGCCTGGGGGACCCAAGAAGAGGAGGTTTAGGGCCAGTCTGTGCACCATACACAGAGCAGGTAAGTATACACCTGTTTGTTACTTTTAATGAAAATAAAACAAGCTTTTACAATCACTTTAAGCTGAGCTCACCTTTGATCTTTATTTCCTCTCTCACTTGTTTGCTGTATCTTTTAATCCACTCAACGCAGTGCTGCTCTGCAAAGTTTTTTTCTGCACAAGCTTTAGACTGATCCTTGTTCCATTCTTGAGTTAATATCTGTGCTGTTTCAGTTGCAGGGATATACAATAATTGATACTTATCAAAGAAGATAAAATCTCTCCCGTTATATCCGAACACTGTGTGTCCACCAATACTGCCATCATCAAACAGAACACATTCGAATTTTATCTGATAAGTGTGCAAATCTGCAAAAGAAAAAAAATAAGTTAGTTATTGGAATATCACATATTAAAATGATTTATTTCAAGTATCTATATAGCGCCGTCAATTTACACAGCGCTTTACATATATATATATATATATATATATATATATATATATTGTACATTCACATCAGTACCTAACCCTCAAGAAGCATGTAATCTAAGGTCCCTAACTTACATTCACATACTAGGGCCAATTTAGACATGAGCCAATTAACCTACCAGCATGTCTTTGGAGTGTGGGAGGAAACCAGAGTATCTGGAGGAAACCCACGCAGGCACAGGGAGAACATGTAAACTCCAGGCAGGTGGTGCTGTGGTTGGGATTTCGAACCAACAACCCTAGTACTGCCAGGTGGAAGTGCTAACCATTTAGCCAAGTTAACTGTAGGTAGGGCTTTTCAGAAAATGACAATATTAATTTCATCAGGAGGTATTTACTTCTATTAGCTGTTTTAAAAACTGCTCAATACAGTCTGCAGGAAAATAACCAAATGACCTCAGATGTACCTTGTATGTCCCAGAGTCCTCCCTGGAACATGCCCTTGGTGTCTGTTTGACAGTCGAGGACTTGATTTGTGTATGATGAAATACTGGTGAAGTGCTTCGAATATGACATAACAAATCATATATCATATAACCTCCTACCATAACCCTTATCATAAACAGACCCCCCCCCCAATATTCAGTTTCCTTTTGGAAATGTGCAATATACACACACACACACACACACACAGTATAGCCTGCAGGCAGGGATCTCATCACGCTGGGCAAACCTTAGATGCTTTTCTGGAAAGTCGAGTATGCTAATAGCCTGTGACATGTCTCTATGAACTTGACATGTGAGTGGAATTTTAACTTTCTTATGGAAATAAACTAAAATTCTGCACTATTGGATGTTTCTTTGCTTGCTTTTAATATATCTATTCCTGTGAGATTGGTAATGACCAGGTGAATGCTGACGAAGATCATGGTCTCTAATATCCAGTTGCAAGAAAGAGTATGTGAACCCCTTGGGATTACGTGGAGTTTTGCATGAATTGGGCATAAAATGTGCTCTGAACGTCATCTAAGTCACAACAATAGAAGAACACAGTCTGCTGAACATAATACTACACAAACATTAGATGTTGCCATGGTTTAATTGCACATAACATGTAAACATTCACAGTGCAGGGAGGAAAAAGTATGTGAACCTTTGGACTTAATAACTGGTTGACCCTCCTTTGGCAGCAATAACCTCAACCAAACGTTTCCTGTAGTTGCAGATCAGACCTGCACAACGATCTGGAGTCATTTTGGACCACTCCTCTTCACAAAACTGTTTCAGTGTAGCAATATTCTTGGGATGTCTGGTGTGAATCGCTCTCTTAAGGTCATGCCACAGCATTTCAATCGGGTTGAGGTCAGGACTCTGACTGGGTCACTCCAGAAGGCGTATTCTGTGCTGTTGCAGCCATTGTTTTGTTGAATTACTTGTATGCATTGGGTAATTGTCCTGTTGCATCACCCATCCTCTGCGGAGCTTCAGTTGGCGGACAGATGGTCGTACATTTTCCTACAAAATGTCTTGATAAACTCTGGAATTCATTTTCCCATCAATGACAACAATCCGTCCAGGCCCTGAGGCAGCAGAGCAGCCCCAAACCATGATGCTCCCTCCGCCATGTTTTACAGTGGGGATGAGGTTTTGATGTTGGTGTGCTGTGCCTTTTTTTCTCCACACATAGTGTTGTGTGTTCTTCCCAAACAACTCAATCTTGGTTTCATCTGTCCACAGTATATTTTGCCAGTAGTGCTGTGGAACATCCAGGTGCTCTTTTGCAAACTTCAAACGTGCTGCAATATTCTTTTTGGACAGCAATGGCTTCCTCCGTGGTGTCCTCCCATGTACTCCATTCTTGTTTAATGTTTTCCTTATTGTAGATGTGTCAACAAAAATGTTAGCATGTGCCAGAGATTTCTGTAGGTCTTTAGCTGACACTCTGGGATTCTTCTTTACCTCATGCAGCATTCTGCACTGTGCTCTTGCAGTCATTTTTACAGGACGACCACGCCTAGGGAGAGTAGCAACAGTGCTAAACTTTCTCCATTTGTAGACAGTCTGTCTTACCGTGGACACATGAACATCAAGGCTTTTGGAGATACTTTTGTAACCCTTTCCAGCTTCATGCAAGTCAACAATTCTTGATCGTAGGTCTTCTGAGAGCTCTTTTCTGCGAGGCATGGTTCACATCAGACAGTGCTTCTTGAAACCAGTAAACCCAAAACAGGTGTGTGTTATTTAAGGGCAGGACAGCTGTCAGCAACACATCCAATATCATCACACTGATTGGAGTCAAGGTTGTCTCACTCCTGGCTCCAATTAGCTCTGGGAGAAGTCATTAAGCTAGGGCCTCACATAGTTTTTCCTCCCTGCACTGTGAATGTTTACATGTTATGTGCAATTAAACCATGGCAACATCTAATGTTTGTGTAGTATTATGTTCAGCAGACTGTGTTCTTCTATTGTTGTGACTTAGATGACGTTCAGAGCACATTTTATGCCCAATTCATGCAAAACTCCACGTAATCCCAAAGAGGTTCACATACTTTTTCTTGCAACTGTAAATCAACCTTTCTCAACCAGGGTACCTCCAGAAGCTACCAGGGGTTCCTCTCAGATAAGTAACCACTGTTCTTTTTAACCATCTATATGGAAGGAGTCTTAGGCTCAGGGTTAGAAAGGTTGAGAAAGACTGATTTAAATGCACATAAGCCATATGATTTGTAATTCATGCATCTCTTACGGAAAGCACATCCAGTCAGATGACATCACTTTTTTGGTACAATTAGGGAATACATTAGTGTCACCTACTTTCCCCCAGCTTGATGACTGGAAAATTAATGAGTAGCAAGAAACTGGCAGGCTCACCTCTCTTCTCTAGTTTGCATGTTCCTTGTCAGCACATGTAAATATAGCTCACCAGTGGATTGCAAGAGGCTGATACAAAGACAAATTCAGATACTTACACAGTTGTTCACAAAAATGTCCACTGAAACAAATACTTTGTCAGTCACATGTGATTATTAATTTTTTTTAATGCAGCTGTTGTAAGTGTCTTTATTAACCTTTTTATGTGAATGGGTAGGATAATGCACTTCTTACTCATTCACGTTAGAGATGGTATCTGGAGGCCCCCTTTTTGTTAAAGAGTGCTTCCAAATTCATATAAGCACCCTGCCCTTAGGCCCCCACAACCACTGGGCCAGGGTTGAGGGGTAGAGACCCTTGTTATCATCAACAAGGAGACAAGGTACTTTGGTAGTGGTCCCCTGGCAAGGTATCTCATATGTTGAGGGTTTGTGGTCTGGTATGGTTCATAAGGGGGTTCAAACTCACCCTACTTTCCTGGCCCACCAGGCAGCAGCTCTTTTGTACTGGAACACTGCTGGTACCATGTGATTGTTGTGAACAATCACAGCAGATCACATGGCAATTGTACACAATGCATGGGCTCTATTCATGCCATTCACTGTGTACTATTGTGATGATCTCTGTGATCATAGTGATCACATGGTAGAGACAGAGCCAATCACAGGCCATCTGTACCATATGATTAGCTGTTATAAGCAATTAATAGTGTGTAACAAAAAATCCTGATCACCTCCCCAGAGTTGTACAGTGTTACTATGGTAACACTGTACTTCACTGATCACAGTATTTAAAAAAAATGTAAGAAAGAAAAAAAAGAACAAAAAAATTTGAGAAAAATTATTTATTTATTTACATACTGTAACCAGTCAGTGCCTCTGATCATCACCATACCAGTTATATGATGACGCTGTACGGCACTGGTGAGAGTATGTAAACAAAATTGTGAAAAACTATTTTTTTTTAATTTCTGCATTTTCTAAAAAAATTGTGACAAAACAATTACAACTTGAAAAAACTTAGCATGCCTTTTACTAAATATTTTTGACTGTCTACTTTCCAAAAAGGGGTCATCTGGGGTGTATTTGTACTGTCCTAGCATTTTGGGGCTTCTAGAAATGAAGCAAGCCATCAGGACATCAATATTGATTGATTTGCAGATACACATATATACCATAGTTTGTGGCACTCTCTACCTTTCCTACAGGCTAAATAATATACACTCATCTGGGTTATTTTTACCAAATAAATGCAGCGGTATACATTTCAGCCTAAATTTATGAAAAAAGATTATTTATTTGCAAAATTTTATAACAGAAACTAAGAAAAATGTGTGTGTGTTTTCATTTATTTAGCAAAAAATAAAAAACCCAGTGGTGATTAAATACCACCAAGAGAAAGCTCTCTTTGTGTCAAAAATGGGAAAAATTTCATTTGGGTACAATGTTGCATGACTGTACAATTGATATTCAAAATGTGGCAGCGCTAAAAGCAAGAAATTGGCCTGGGCTGGAAGGAGGTGAAAATTCCTGGTATTGAAAGGGTTAAAATGTACTTCTCCCTGCTAAATGAACTTTTCAAAATATGTTTTTTTACTTTGTTATATATTTTTCAGGGCAATAACCCCCCCCCCCCATACCAATCCCTTGTCTATTAGCTTAGAAAATTGCCATTACTGTTCGTTAACATTTCTCTCTCATAGACTTAGACCCCCGCCCCCTAGTAAAAAACACTCCCCTCACACACAGTTAACCCTTTCACTGAATAATAAAAGTTAACCCCTTCCTCCCCAGTGCCATTAGTACAGTGTCAGTGGTTTTTTTTTTTGCACTGATCACTATATTGGTGTCACTGGGGGATGTCAGTGACCCCAAGTCAGTTGCCCCCCACTGTCAGAATGTCCGCCGCAGTCCCGCAGTCCTGCCATAAGTCGCTGATCGCCGCCATAAGTCACTGATCGCCGCCATAAGTCGCTGATCGCCGCCATAAGTCGCTGATCGCCGCCATTATTAGTATAAAAAAAAATAAAAATCCCAGTATCTTTCCCGCTATTTGTAAACGCTATAACTTTCACGTAAACCAATTAATTTACATGTATTGGGATTTTTTTTTAGGAAAAACATGGTGCAGAATGCATTTTGGCAGAAATTTATGACTAAATTTGATTTTTAATTTTTTTTTTACTGGACATGTTTTATAGCAAAAAGTCCAAAATTTTGTTTTTTTTTCCTCAAAATTGTCAGGCTTTTTTTTTCATAGCGCAAAAAATAAAAAACGCACAGGCGATCAAATACCACTGAAAGAAAGCTCAATTTGTGGGAAAAAAAAGGATGTAAATTTCATTTATGTACCGTATTGCATGACCGCGCAATTGTCCGTTAAACTAGCGCAGCGCTGTATAGCAAAAAAATGGCGTAAATTGCAGTATCTATACCACAGTTTGTAGACGCTATAACTTTCACACAAAGCAATCAATATACACTTACTGGGATTTTTTTTTTACCAAAAACATGTAGCAGAATACATTTTGACCTAAATTTATAACTAACTTTGAGTTTACTATATTTTTTTTTTTTAGCTGAAAGTAAAAAATATTGTTTTTCTTCAAAATTTTTGGTCTTTTTTTGTTTATAGCGTGAAAAATAAAAAGCGCACAGGGATCAAATACCACCGAAAGAAAGCTCTACAGTATTTGTGTGAAAAAAAGGACGTAAATTTAGTTTGGGTGCAGCATTGCATGACCGCGCAATTATCAGTTGAATTAGTGCAGCGCCGCCGAGTAGCAAAAAGAGGCCTGGTCATTAAGGGGGGTAAATCCTTAGGAGGGCAAGTGGTTAAAAAGAAAAAAAAAAATCTTTCCCCAGCCAAGCGGACTATTTCTTCACTTTCAGGTGCAGGTGTAGTAATCTCCTGTTCCAGACAAGTACATTACAGCCTCGGCCCCTTCTATATATCAATCCACCGGGCAGGATGGGACTGTAATGTACTTGTCTGGCACAGGAGATTACTACACCTGCACCTGATAGTGAAGAAATAGTCCACTTGGCTGGGGAAAGATTTTTTTTCTTCTTTGAAATTGCTACAGATTGTGGTCTTACATTTGGGATTTGTAACTGAATTGAGTTAAGTAGATAACCTTTTGGAAGACTGTGCTGTGCTTCACCATAGTTCAGTGGAGGGGTCTTTGGCTCCCTTTAGCACACTGCATTCTAAATGTCTTTGACAGCTGTTGGTCCAATCAGAACATTTGTACTGTTACCATTAGACAGGTTTATCATTCTCTCAATGCGTTTGAAGACTACTCCGGTGTTGATCTTCAAATTTTTGAGCCAGTTGGGTGATGTTCTCCCAGATCTGTAGATCCCTGGGGTCTTCCATCCATCCATATTGAGGCTGAGCCTTGCGGGCTGTCACTATTATACCACACAATCTGTGTGTTATCCATCATTCCCACAATGGAGTACAGAGGAAGGTTTGTGCATTTTGTGCTGACTACATTGAAGTGATACTTGAGACTGTGACTGTCTGGAAATAAACAAACAACACAAGGACAGATATGACTACATACTGTATAAGCAGAACATTCACAGTTCCATTTACATTATAAAATCATAAATAGTATTTACATAATACCTGTTGCTCTTCTCCTTTAACCCTTTTGCTGCCAGAGCCGTTTTTGCATTTTTTTGCACACGTTTGAAAAATAATTTTAGGCCTGAAGATTACACAAAACCCCCAAACATTATATATTTTCTAAAATCAGATGCCCTAGAGAATAAAATAGTGGTAGTTTCAGTTTTTTATGTCACACAATATTACCACAAAGGTAAAAAATAAAAGACAAGGTTGCGTTCAGTAACTACAGTATTATTTATTATTATTATACAGTATTTATATAGCGCCAAAAAGTTTGCTCAGCGCTGTACATTATAGTGGGAGACAGTACATGAGACAATACAGTAACAATACAATACACGAGGGGTTCGAGGGCCCTGCTCCTTGAAGCTTACAATCTAGGAGGGAGGGGATAGTGGTACAGGAGGAAGTGGCTGTGGGGGATGGAGTGGTAGGAGGAGTGGAGGAGATCAACTGTTAAGTAAGGGCGGGGTAGGCTTCCCTGAAGAGATGGGTTTTCAGGGTGCGCCTAAAGGTGAGGAGGGTAGGTGACAGTCTGATGGATTGGGGTAGTGAGTTCCAGAGGATGGGGGAAGACCTGGAGAAGTCCTGGAGTCGGGCATGGGAGGAGGAGACCAGGGAGCTAGAGAGTAGGAGGTCTTGTGAGGAGTGAAGAGTACACATGTTGGGTGGTATTTGGATATCAGGTCGGTGAGGTAGTTTTGGGCAGTATTATGAATGGCTTTGTAAGTCAATGTTAGTGGTTTGAATTTTATGCGTTGGGCAATCAGAAGCCAGTGGAGGGAATGACAGAGGGGGGTGGCGGATACGGAGCGGTTGGTAAGGTGGATGAGTCTGGCCGCTGAGTTCAGGATAGACTGAATCGGGGATAGTCTGTGATGAGGTAGGCCGGAGAGGAGGGAGTTGCAGTAGTCGAGTCGTGAGATTATAAGGGAGTGAATGAGTTGTTTAGTGGTGTCTGGGGTTAGGAACAAGCGTATTTTGGAGATGTTGCGGAGGTGGAGCCTGCATGAATTTGCCAGCGATTGGACATGGGGCTGGAAGGACAGATTGGAGTCTAGAGTGACACCTAGGACTTTGGCTTGCGGAGTGGGACTGATGGTGGCGTTATTGGTCGTGATGGAGAGGATGGGGGGGGGGGCATGGGCTGGGGGGAAAACTAGGAGCTCGGTTTTGGAAAGGTTTAATTTGAGGAAGTGGAGTGACATCCAGTCTGATATGTCGTTCAGTAGGCAGGTGATTCGGGTGGAGACTGAAGGGGTGAGGTGAGGGGTGGAGAGGTAAATTTGTGTGTCGTTGGCATAGAGGTGATAGTTGAAGCCGTGGGAGTGTATCAGTTGGCCAAGGGAGGAGGTGTAGATGGAGAAGAGAAGGGCAAGTTCTCCCACTTAGAAATCATGGAGGGGTCTGAAATTCACATTGTAGGTGCATTCCCACTCTGAGAGACAGAATTTAAAAAATAAATTCAGGAAATCACATTGTATGATTTTTAAAGAATTTATTTGTCTTGCACTGCTGAACATAAGTATTTGAACACCTGAGAAAATCAGCGTTAATATTTGGTACAGAAGCCTTTGTTTGCAATTACAGAGGTCAAACGTTTCCTGTAGTTCTTGACCAGGTTTGCACACACTGCAACAGGGATTTTGGCCCACTCCTCCACACAACAGATCTCCTCTAGATCTGTCAGGTTTCGGGGCTGTCGCTGAGCAACACGGAGTTTCGGCTCCCTCCAAAGATGTTCTATTGGATTTAGGTCTGGAGACTGGCTAGGCCACTCCAGAACCTTGATATGCTTCTTAGGAGCCACTCCTTGGTTATCCTGGCTGTGTGCGTCGGGTCGTTGTCATGTTGGAAGACCCAGCCACAACCCATCTTCAATGCTCTGACTGGGAAGGGAAGGAGGTTGTTGCTCAAAATCTCACAATAAATGGCCCATTCATCCTCTCCTTAATACAGTGCAGTCGTCCTGTCCCCTTCGCAGAAAAGCACCCCCAAAGCATGATGTTACCACCCCCATGCTTCACAGTAGGCATGGTGTTCTTGGGATGCAACTCATCCTTTTTCCTCCAAACATGACGAGTGAAGTTTAGACCAAAAAGTTCTACTTTGGTCTCATCTGACCACATGACTTTCTCCCATGCCTCTTCTGGATCATCCAGATGGTCATTGGCAAACTTCAGACGGGCCTGGACATGTGATCACTTGAGCAGGGGAACCTTCCGTGCAATGCATGATTTGAAACCATGACAGCGTAGTGTTCTACCGAAAGTGACCTTTGAAACTGTGGTCCCAGCTCTCTTCATGTCATTGACCAGCTCCTCCCTTGTAGTTCTGGGCTGATTCCTCACCTTCCTTATCAGTGATACCCCACGAGGTGAGATCTTGCATGGAGCCCCAGTCTGAGGGAGACTGACAGTCGTCTTTAGCCTTTTCCATTTTCTAACAATTGCTCCAACAGTTGATCTATTTTCACCAAGCTGCTTGGCAATTACCCCATAGCCCTTTCCAGCCTTGTGGAGGTCCACAATTTTGTCTCTGGTGTCTTTTAACAGCTCTTTGGTCTTGCCCTTGGTAGTAGTTGGCATCTGACTGACTGTGGGGTGGGAAGGTGTCTTTAAAGAGCACAGACAGGTGCTACTAAGTTAGATTAATGAGTGGAGAAGAGGTGGACTTTTTAAAGGCACAGTAACAGGTCTTTGAGAGCCAGAATTCTTGCTGTTTCTTAGGTGTTCAAATACTTATGTTCAGCAATGCAAGACAAATACATTCTTTAAAAATCATACAATGTGATTTCCTGAATTTTTTTTTTTTTTTAATTCTGTCTCTCAGAGTGGGAATGCACCTACAATGTGAATTTCAGTCCCCTCCATGATTTCTAAGTGGGAGAACTTGCAAAATCAAAGGGTGTTCAAATACTTCTGTTCCTCATTTTATATGTAGAGCTACTTCCATAGAAGATGCAGGAATGCTGTCCAGGTTTCCCCACAGTCTTCTCCCCATAACCAGGCACACAGGCTCATACACACATTTCTTCAATGACCAGTCTAGGGGTGTTTTTGTGGCTTTTATTTTTGGAGAACTTGGATAGGGTTGAAAGAATTAGGTGGGATACTCCAAAAACAAGAACTATGTACACTTGAGGACTTAGGTAATCTTCAGGAAAAGCAATAATAAAGTCTGTTCTTGTAACAAACAGTGGACTTCAGCTTTAAAGTAGTAGTAATAGTTAACTGTAACTTCCTTTCTTAGAGCCATAAGAGCAAAAGTAAAAGATAAGTAAAATATCTGGGCAAAACTTTTCAGGATACCAGCCCAGTGTCCCACAGCTTGGGTGGCAAAAGCTCAAAGGTCCCCAAGATTTTTCAGAAGCATCTGAACTCACACAAGACTCAAGCACAGCTGGTTTCCTCCCAGCTTCCAAGCGACACCTTACTCTGGTGACACCAGATAAGATCTTCAGCAAACAGCCCCCCTCTGTCAGCTCCCTTTAGTTCTAGGACCTTAGCATCCAGACCCACAGGTCACCCACCTGAGGCCTTTTTTAAAATGATATTTTGTGAGAAAAAACCAAAACCCGTAAGTGGACAAAAACATGCAAGTGCAAAACACAAGAACAAAAAAGTGCACTTAGGTGTGTGCTTTAGTCCACCCCCCAAAGGAATCAACATCTACCCTCATCCCCTGGGGCACAAGGCTCCTGACAGGGACAAATGTTTCCACATGGTTCACCTAGTCAAAAGGCCTGGCAGACCCCTTTCCTTGTGGCTAGCCAAAGCCAACCACCAAGTACTAGATCAGGGAACTCTCCCAAAGAGCCCACACACCAGGAAAGGACAACCCCCTAATGGCCACACATCCTCCCGTTAGACTTCAGGGCAAGCCCGAGGACCCACACCCTCCATCTTTGTGAGAAAAAAAATACACACATAAGTGAAAAGTGACAAAACAGTGGGAGAAAAATAAATAAGTGGCCGTGCAATTGTGCACTGGCTAGGCCCTGAGGCCCGTAGCAAAAACAATTGCCATGGACTTAGCCAAAAGGCCTAGCATTAAAAGGCACAGTGCAGAAAAAGTGTTTAGAGCAGTGACCATGTGCACTTTTCACACTTGGGTACCCACCTCCATGTGTTACTAAGAGCACCCCTGAGGCAACCACTCTCAATGCACTGCTCCATGGACTCTCTGCCCCCCGGCCCCTGGCCAGACAAGGTAGATCCATTCAAATCAGGAGGAACTGGGCCCCTCCAGTTTTTCCCGGGGGAATTACTCCCAGGCACCAACAGCCTGTGGGCACCTCGGTTTCTCTTCCAGCCGATGCTAACCTTCAGAGCCCCCATCATACCAGCAGGGGTACTATACAGTCAATCATCCTCGCCTAAAAACAAGAATGACGGCAGAGCACCCCTACTGGTAACTGATAAGAACAGATTTTTTTTCTTTTTTTTTTTTTTTTAAAGTCCGCAAACGTGCAACTATAACGAAAAAACCCATAAGTGTTCACAAAAAAAGTGCAAGTGCAAAACACCACACGAAAAAGTGCACTTAGGGGTGTGCTTTGTCCTTCCCCCGAAGGGGATGGACCACTACCCTGATCCCCCGGGGCACGAAGCTCTTGACAGGGACAAGGTTCCCATTTGGTCCTCCTGGCCAAAAGGCCTGGTGGACCACCGTTCCTTGTGTCCAGCCGAAGCCGGACACCCAGTACTTGGTCAGGGGGCTCTCCCGAAGAGAAAACCCCCTAGGGACAGGGAGGAAGGAACCAAAAGGCCACACATCCTCCCCCTAGACTTCAGGGCAGGCCTGAGGACCCACACCCTCCATCCTGTGAGAGAAAAACACACACATAAGTAAAGAAAAAGTGACAAAACGTGGGAGATGTAATAAATTAAATAAATAGAAAATAAAAAAGTGGTCGTGCCAAATAGTGCACAGACCAGACCCTGAGGCCTGTAGCAAAAA